TTGACAAAACTCTAGGACTGCCTTTGTAGTGCTGGTACCTCAAGGGGAGAATTCAGGAAGAGCTTCTTGTTGGGTCCTTAGCATGGGCCTGGCACCCGAAGTAGGAAGCAAATTAGTGAGGCTATTCAGTGCTCTCTGTGGGCTATAACAGCTGTAACTAGTTCCCGCAGAATCCATTCCCAGACTTCTTTTTTTAAAGAGCCCAATTTTAAAGGGCACCCATTGGGAGGCTGGCACAGGACCGGGCAGTGTGACCTCCTGTTGTGCACCAGGTGGCCATGGGTCAGAATTGACTCGACCATATACACAGATTGGACATGGGCCGTGTGGTAGATAGATCCTATGTCAACTTGAATTTGGATGAAATTGTAGGACTGGAGGCCAACGAATCACTCAGGACACAGCCTGGTGAAGCCTGCTGGCCGGTGTGACCTTTTCAAGAGAGGCACTGGGGAGTCCCCGCCCCCCTACCTCTTCCCCTCCCTGCTTGCTGTGACTCGGCTGGCTGCTCTGGGTGCTGTGGGCGCCCTGCCACATTTACTGAGCTGGCAGCCACACGACCCTGCACCTACCGACCTGTGATCTCCTGCCTCCCTAGTCACCCTTCTGTGTCACTGGCCTGCAGTTACGTCTGAAGAGCGCTCCCCAACTGGCATCAGGCCCCTGGGCTTACGCTGGACTGGGGTGCCTTCTTGAGGATAGGGTACTTCTACATAAAGTTCCTGCTTACAATCCAGGAGCCTCACTGGCTCTGTTTCCCTAGACCACCCAGCCCAACACAGGCAGGGTAGCTGTGTATTTGATCCTCCCACATCACGGAATTTAAAAGGACTGATTGTTATGCATCGGGCTGCTAATCGCAAGGCCAACCCTTCTGTAAAGACTTTATTTACAGTCACGTTGGGTCAGGAAGCCTGGGTCCTAGCCCCTGCTCCATCACTAGGCCTCCAGCCCACCCCCCCACCCCCCAGAAAGTAGACCTGGGGCCTTTCCTGAAGTTCTCTGCTGCCCCCTGGTGGACACAGGAACCCACCTCTGCTCTGGTAGGGGCGGATTCTACCTGCGTAGGAAGGGGTGGATTCTACCTGTGTAGGAAGGGGCGGGTTCTCTCCGTGTAGGATAACCCAGTAAGCAAGGTAAACACTCATGAGCTTACTTAGTAATGTGTAAACTGCAGACTATTAAGTAGACACAGGTAAACCCATGCTTACCTTCCTCCCTGCCTACTCCGCCCAGTCAAGATTGTAAACTTCAGAACAGGCTTCGAGGGTCTAGAATGGGTTGTGGTGATGAATGTACAAGTCTTTTTTGACGTATTGAAACGGTGCGTGAATTAAACGTTAGTAAAACTGCTAAAGAAAAGACAGGGGAAGGCGGCACGGTCCGCTGGCCTACACAGGCCTGCCGGTCCCATCAGGTCATACGTGCTGCTGCTGCTGCGGTGAGGCGCTGGCCACTTGGTTCCAGCTCATGGTGGCCGGCGCACCACAGAACAAAACCCTGCCCGGCCCGACCCGTCCTCACAGCGGCCCTGTGTCTGAGCCCAGGGCTGCAGCCACTGGGTCCGTCTTCTTGTTCACGGGCTCTTCCAGGGACTGGCTCTCATGGAGTTTAAAAATCCCACCCAGGACAGAGCTGAAGTGAGCAAATCCGCCGACTTTCCTCCCCAGGAGGATCGCCTGTCTTTGGTGGACAGAGCAGGGTGTTGTATGTAAAATGCCTCCAACTCCCGGCAGGGCAGAGTAGAACTGCCCCTGTGGGTAGTTTCTGTTAAGACGTGCTCTTCACAGGAGCAGAATGCCTCCTCTTTCCCCCAGTATGGTGGCAAATCCCAGATATAATCTATAAGCCTAAACAGAAGCCAAACTCACTGCCGCCAACGAGTCAATTCCAACTCAGAGTGACCATCCAGGACACGGTTGAACTGCCTCTATGGGTTTACACCATTGTAACTCTTTGTGGGGGTAGAAAACCTCCCCTTTCTCCCTTGGGGCAGCTGGTAGCTTTGAACTCCTGACGTTTTAGTTAGCAGCTCCATGTGTAACCGCTCTGCCACCAGGGTTCTTCAATCTGTAAGACTGGGACACTTCAGAAAGGTCATGGAAAAACCGAATGAAAACAGTGTGGGATTTTCCACGAACTTTTTGAAGGACGCGTGTACGTTTGGCATGTAACACAAGGTCATTCAGCAGCCTGAAGGTCGGAAGAGGAGCCCTGGTGCTGCAGTGCTTACCTGTTGGGCTGCCAACCACCAGGTCAGCAGTTCTGAACCACCAACTGCTCCGAGACGAGGCTTTCTGCTGCCCTGAAGCGTTACGGTGTCAGAAACCCACTGGACAGATGGTTCCTCCCGGTCCACAGGCTCGATGGCAGTGAGTTTAGTGGGGATTTGTTGGTTTGTTTTTGAGTGAGAAGGTGGGAAATCATTTCAGCACGTGTCTGGGCCACATAACATCCTATGCCACATGATATGTCACAGATGTTCACCAACACATGACCGTAGATGGATGGAGGGGGGTGGTGGTAACAGCCTGGATAGTGGTGCCAGGTGTGCCAGCCCCCAGCTCCGGGGCCAGCTGGGCAAACTTGAAGGAATCCCCTTCTCTCCCTCAGCTCCATCTTCATCTGAAAAATTTGGCCTCTGGCCCCACCCAAGCCAGGCCCCCCTGAGGTCCCAAGGCCTTCTGGCCAGGGCAGGCTCTCTGCTCCCCATGAAATGGCAGGAGAACCTGGCCCATTTCTGTGGACTCTGGTTCCCAAGGCCCCTTAAGAGAGCAGGGAGTTGGTGCCCCGCCTTCTTCCCCTTGCCCCTGTCGCCTGTCAGAAGGAGGGTCAGCACCCCTCGTTACACCGGCCCTGGCACCCTTGGGGCCCGGGGTTAATTTTTAAGAGGCAGCTCAAAGTCCAGGTGGGGTTTAGCAGGACTTGTCCTGTTTGCTCTGGTTAATCATCTCAGAAGTGCACACACTCCTGGGGAATAAAGAAAAACCAGCCGCCCCCCTTACCCCGCATTCCCTGAATCCACCACCCCCACCACCCCCTCCCCCCACCACCCCCAGGTCCTGGAACTGGTTCACACTGGCTGCTGGCTTCCTGTCTGGAATTTATAGCCAAGGAGGGAAGCAGGGTGGGGGTGGGTGCTGTGGTTTATTGCAGGGCTGCTAACAGCCTGGGTGGTGATTCAAGCCCAGCAGCCACTCCGCTGGGTAAAGGGAGTGTGGGGGAAGGAGGCTGTCTGCTCCAGAGAAGACAGTGTCTGAAACCCTCTATGGGGCTGCTATGAGGCAGAATCTCGTGCAGGCAGGTTAAGAAGATCAGCAGCGCTGCCTTGGCAGGCCGTTGTCATTGTTAGGGGCCGTGGAGCTGGTTTTCAAACCATAGTGATCCTGAGTGACCCAGCAGAATGCTGTCACCAGTTGTAACTCCTTTCCCAGGGAGTCGCTAAGTGGGTTTGAACTGTTAGCAGCCAAAGGCTTAACCACTGGGGCCCCAGGCCTCCTCTGATATGCTGTGAGTAACCTTCCTAGGAGTCTTCCCGGGACACTTGAACACACACCATCGCACCGGGTCTCCAGGCAGGCAGAGCAGCCACGAGTCCCTCAGTCCACAGACTGAGGGAAACGGCATCCCAAAGTCACACAGCCAGTGAGAGGGAGCACAGGGGAGACCCAGGCATTCAGCTTTCAGCGCCGGGCTGTTCCTCCTCCATCAGACCCCGCACTGCCACCACCAGCCCCCTATTCAGCCCAAAGGGAGGGGGCAGCGTTTAATTCTTCTTGTGGCACCCATGGAAGCAGCAGTCGAGAAGTCAAATGCCTCGGTGTTCCTGCCTGACCCACCGTGGCACTGCCAGCCGCCCGTGGAAAAGCCGGACAGCGGGAACCAGCAGAGGAAGGGAGTGCTGCCCGACAGGGCGGGGTAAGACCGTGGTCGACAGCAGAGGTCCAGTAGAGGGGACGCACCTGCCGTGGAAGGAAAAGCACAGCCAAATGCCCCTCACAGGGGATGCTGTCCCACTCACTTTGGACATGTTCTCAGGAAGGAGTGATCTTGGGGGAGGACATCACGCTCGGGATAGGAGAGGAAGGCCCTGAGCCATGCGGATTGGCCCGGCAGCGGTGGTAGCACGGGCTAGCACCTGACAGTGACTGGGAGGATGGCCTGATTGGGCAGGGTTCCATACGTGGGAGGTGCTGCCGTCAGGGGATCTGTGACAATGCCCTGAGCATTAGCTTACGGGTGATGGGGGCGTGGGGGAGGTGGGGGGCGGGTCTAACCATGAGAATGCTCTGAGCATTAGCTTATGGGTGGGTAGGGGAGTGTGAGGTTCTGAGCATCATCTTACGGTGGGGGTTGGGGAGTGAGGCAGGTAAAGCTCCCCAGCCCACACTGTCAACCATTTCGAAAAGCAGTCTCTGTGGGCATCTCCCGTCCCACCGGGGGACCCTGGGGAAGTCACGACTCCCCTGTAAAGGGGGAAACAGCGCTTGCTCTGCTCGGTGTGAACATCCGATTCCCTCCTTTGTGGTAAAGTTCCTGAGTCTGCACTACTGACCCAGAGCAGCTGCCCTGGGACTGGGAAGTGTGGTCGTGACCAGCATGGCCACAGGAAACGTTAGGTCAGACACTGTGCCAAGGTCTTCCTCTCCCTGTGCCTCAGTTTTCCCACGTGGGAAATGGGCACCACCAGGCTTGCCTTAGGGCTCCCTGGGGTATGAGTTCTGGGGGCCTGACCCAGAGGGAAAGAGGCACCCTTCTCTCAACCATCCCCACCCATCTCCCTGGACAGGTGGGGCTTCCAGAGGAAGCCTTTCTGGGGACTGAACATCTGGGGCGGTCCCAGAGCCTGTGTTTGACTGATTCTCTCTGAAATAGCCTCCCGTGACCCTCAGGACCATTGACCCCAGTCGAAGGACCACGCAGGATCGATCCGAGCTGGCCTTGGGGCCCTGATTGGTCCCAGCTTAGCAGGACAAACACCAAGGTCACTACAGGCCACCAGCGCCTCCCCAGCCTCACTGTGCAGTTGTCCCTGTCCCTAGACCCAGCCGGTGAGTGACACCCAGGCACGGAAAGGGCCAGAGCCATGTGGACCCTCGGAACCCTGCTTCTGCTGCTGGCCTCCTGTCTGACAGCAGGTGGGAACCCAGTCCCAACACCTCCCGACGACGACATCCAAGTGCAGGAGAACTTTGACCTCTCTCGGGTAATGCGGGCCTCACGGGGTGGTGGCGGTGGGGTGTCAGCCCCGCTGGGCAAGTCCTGCTGGTCCCAGGGTCTCGGTCTCCCCACCTGGAACCAGCGGGTCAATCCTCCAAGGCCCACCCTCGCCTTCTGGCCTGTTCTCTGGGGGTTCCCAGCAGAACTCATGTTTTGATGAGAACCCACCCCAGGCAGGTGCTGGCTTGATGCTGCTACCCTGTAGCCCATCACACAGTGCCCGCATGTAAGCCACCTCCCTGCCCAGCCCTTAGTTCTATAACCACATCCTCTTGAGGGGGGCCCTTGTGAGGTGCGGACGGTGAAATGCCTGAGTAAACCCACAGAAGCCTTGAAAGAGAGGTCTGTGACCTACTTTGGGAACCAGCCAGGGGAGCCCCTAAGGAGCAGTCCCAGCTCACACACGTGGGGCTGCCCTGATTCGGGATCCACACTTCTCTGTTGGCTGGTCCCGAGTCTCTGCCTTCCTGACCTGGCTGGCTGGCCAGGGCTATGTGCTGGCCCAGGGTGGGCATGCGCCCGCTGGCCTTGGGGCCAGGCTTCTGGGATAAAGGGGGAAGGGCAGCGGGGCAGAGTCACGCCGGACAGTGGGAGCTGGTCTGAGGCTCGGGCACGGGGGCACTCCAACCTGGGAATGGGTGCTGGGTGGGTGGAGGCCGAGGACTGTGCCCCAGCCCCGCTCCGCCCTGCGTCACCGGGTGACCTTGAGTCAGAAAGACCTTACCCACTCGGGGCTAAGTCTGCACACCAGACAGCTGCAATAGATTTTGCTTTTGGGGGCAAGTAGAGGTCATGGACAGAGGGGCGTCTGGTAACTTCTTTGAGCAACTTGACTGCCAAGGTCGTGAGCCCCCTGCCACTGGAGGAACGAAAGACACGACTCCTGCTCTTGGGGGGCAATGGGTGGTGACCTTCCAACATGAGACCTGCACCCCAACTACATGAGCAAGGCAGACCCCACACATCAGCAGACTGGGGACTTCTTTCCGCTCGGCACCTGCCCACCCGTCGCCTTCCCCAGCTTTCAGGAGGCCTGCTCTGCCTCATTTCTTCTTCACGACCCTGCTTGGGTGGGGGTGGGGTGGGGGCCTGCAGTTAGGCAGAGGGTGGTCTCACGTGGAGCATTGGTCTTGGGAGGAGGGAGGGGAGCAGGTTCCAGTCAAGGCTTCCTTGAGGTCTGAGATGAATCCAGGTCCCCAAAGCTCACGCCTGCCCCCTAGATCTACGGGAAGTGGTTCAACGTGGCCATTGGCTCCACCTGCCCCTGGCTGAAGAAGTTCCAGAGCAGGCTGTCTATGAGCACGCTGGTCCTGGGAGACGGGGCCACCGACACAGAGATCAGCACCACCAGCACTCGTTGGCGGTGAGTGTGGGGGGCGGAGAGGAAGGGGCCAGAAGGACCAAGGACCCATCACCTTCCCCCACGCCCCCACCCCGCCTTCAGCTGCCATCCTGAAAAGTTACAGACCTCTGCTTCCAGCCCAGCCTGCCCCCCACCCCAGCTCCAACTCCCCTCCAGTAGCCTTCACCTTTGATAACTGCCCCGTGCACATTCCTTGTGCAAACAGCCATGTCCCCAGCTGTATGCCTGCCATCCAACTGGCTCCTCCCCCCGAGTCTCCATAGCTCAGTGAGGACCCTCAGCTACCTGGGACCCAATCTAGTAGCCTGGGCAGGGTTTGGGGGCCGGGGTGGGTGTGTGTGTTTGAGGAATCCTAGCCTCCCCTCTTCCCCTGCCACTCCCCACCCCCATTCAATCCACTCCCCAGTGCTGTCTACATGGGTCCTGAGCCCCTGGAATCCCCACCTGTCGTCTCTACTGCCGCCGCCCTGGCTCAGCCTCCTTCCTCTCTTGCCTGCTCATCAGCCACAGGCTCTCTCTCTGCTTCACACCCCTTCCCACCCCTTCCTCACTCGGCAACCAGAATCTCAAACCCCCTGTGTCCAACACCCCTTTCCCCCCACTTCCCACTGCTCGTGAGCACGGAGGTCAGACCTTGGATTCGGCCTCTCCCAGCCCCCACCCCTCCATCTCCCCAGGCCCAGGCACCCTGTGACCCACACATATAGGCCTGCTTTTCACCCCCGAGCCCTTTAGCCTCTTGCCACTTCCGGCCCTTGCCCCAACCAAGTTCCTTCTGCTGAAAGCACCTCTCCTCACCTCCCTGCCCCAATTCCTGGACTCAGCAAACACCCTCCACCTTGTCCCCCTAACCTCCCCCACGCCGTGCCTCAGGTTCAGGTTCTAAGTCTCTGTTTTGGGCTCCCGGAGCACCTGGTACTTCCCCTAGAGCACTGATCACCGGCATAGGGTGCCCTCTGGCCGGCCCGCCCACTTGATGGTCAGCCTCAAGAAGGGACAGGGTCTGACTCGCTCACTTCTGCGGCCTCAGCATGTAGCAGCGTCTGACCCCGGGCGCTGCTCAGCCAGTGCTCACTGGGCATCTCCGTGAATCACAGAAGCGATTCTCTCGGATCCCTCTGACAACAGTCAATGCATAGTGTTTACTCTGAGCACGGCATCACAGCCCCTCGTGCGGAAACACGCTCCCTGCCCCCGTTTCACAGACGAGGACCCTAGGGCCATGAGACCCAGGATAAGCCATGGACCTCTGCGTGAGCACGCCCATCCCATGACGCAATGGGATCCTGGGCAGGTTTGGTTCAGGAAGCCGATCTCTAGTCCTGGCTGTGCCAAGAGGTGCCCCGGCCTTGGTCCCTTCTTTGCCCTGTCGCTCGCTCCCTTTTCTGCCTGGTCCAACAGCTGGCCTCTCGGGGCGGGTGTGACGATAAACAGGATCCCTGGAAATGCCCGGGGCCCGGGAGAAGGTGCTGTGTCAAGACGGCCATCATGAAGTGAGTTCCTTCCTCTTGATGTGTCCATCTGCAGGAAAGGGCTCTGTGAGGAGACCTCGGGGGCTTATCAGAAGACCAGCACTGAGGGGAAGTTCTTCTACCACAAGCCCAGTACGTGGGGTCTGTGGAAGCAACCTTGGGTCTCTCCTGGTGCAGAAATATCTCTTTCCTCCTACGCGGCTCCCTCGATCCCTACAACCTCCAGTGTCATCTAACCTGCCTCCAAATTCCTCTCCTTTTCCTTCATTTTCCCCTCCCCTCTTGCCCCGTCCCCCCAACCCCAGCCCCGCCTTCCTCCCCTGACCCTCTCCTCTCCTCTCTCTCTCTCACACGTGCTCATCACGTGCTCCAGGCTGAGGGCACATAGAGGTCTCATCAGTTCGTCACAGATGCACTCAGCATCTGCCAGGTCCAGTGTAGGGACAGAGGGATTTGGACATGAATGTGTTTATGAAAAAACATATGCTTATTGAATATGCTCTGCGTACCAAATCGTTGCATTGGGGGCTTGCACACTGAGATGTTTCCAGATGAATAAGTAAATGAGGGCGAGAATAAACCAGCGAGGGTAAATCAATGTGTGCATGTGTGGCAGATAGATTGAGTCCACCAGCCCATCATCCAATAGATCCATGGGTGGGTTAGCGAATGGATGAAGAGGGGAAGGAGGAAATGGATAAACATAGGGATTTGGGTCTGGAGATGATGGAGGGAGGGAGGAATTAGAGATTCATATAGGAAGGAGGAGTCGGTGGAGAGAGAGACTGGAGATAGACAAATTCACCCATGAATACGTGGACAAGATGAATGGGTGTGTGGGCGAGGAGGGACGTGTGTCAAGGGTCTCGTGCTGGGACGGCTTGCTCTTGACCCCTCCGATCCACCTCCCTAACCCGTGCAGAATGGAATGTGACCCTGGAGTCCTACGTGGTGCACACCAACTACGATGAGTACGCCATTTTCCTGACCAAGAAAGTCAGCCGCCATGGACCCACCGTGACCGCGAAGCTCTACGGTAAAGGCCTGTCGGAGCTGGGGGAGGGAGGAGACTCCTGACGCTGGACAGTGGCGAGGGGAAGAGAGTAGAGCTGAGCTTTTCCTCTTCTGACGAACCCCAGGTAGGTGAAAGGTGGGAGGAGAAGGCAGAGCCCCATCTCTCAGCGGACGCAGAGTCTGGGTCCCTGCAATTCCAGGTCTGGCGTCTCCAGATCCTTACGAGGACCAGCAGAAAGAGCGCTGTGTGGAGAATCAGGAGTACAGGGAGGGGCCCCTTCCCAAGAGTAGGTCGGGAAGATGGAGCTGTCTTGTCTTGGACCAGATAACTCCTCGGGCCCTCCCATCCCAGGCACCTAGCGGTTCCAGGTTTCTCCCCTGCGTCTCACTTGCAGGGCGGCAGCCGCAGCTCCGGGACAGCCTCGTGGAGGACTTCAGGGACTTTGCTCTGAGCATGGGGATCCCCGAAGACTCCATCTTCACCACGGCCGACAGAGGTAGCCAGCACCCCCACCCACAGACAGAGAACAGAGACCACCTCCC